TCCTACGCGATCTGCGCAACGAGAATTCGCTACGTTGCCGCGTCAGCGGGACCGGGACGCCGCACGCGGGCATGACGTCCTTTCGCGTCGAAAACTAACGCGTAAAATGTTTTGCCGACATCGCCGGAATCGGCTAACGATTATTCAAAACTAGCGTTTACTCTTTGTGCCGGCGATCAATATTGGTGAAATCGCTGTGCGGTAAACTAACCGTTTTGTGCACAAGCGACAAAAAACACGAGCGGCAAACCGTTACCGAAAAACCGTATCGGCAAGTCACGCCTACACGCGACCGTTTTTTTATTTTTGCGTTATTCACGGTGTACCGTACGATAATAATATTCGTTTTTTCTATTTTGTTTGTGCGATAATTTACGAATACGATTTTGTACTATGACCGGCTGACCCGAAAACGCTTTGCTATTGCCAGGTAACAGTGTAAAAATAATAGCAATAACAATAATACAGTTTTCCTGATCGTGACGACCAGATTGTCATCCATGTCACTAAAGTAACCCACGAACACAAATACAAACAAATAAACAAAAAAACTGAAAATGCTTAAAAAAAAAAAAAAAACAAAACCGCTATTTCGTCTCCTCAGATGAGCACGTCTCGCGATCGGTGCCCCCCTCCCCACGTCGTTTACCCTTCGCGAATTCCGCCTACGACTTTGTGAAGCAGGTACCCCCGCACACACCGATCGCACATCCGACCGAAATACAATAACGTCATTCCCGGAAACCGATTTGAACGCGTCGCAGTACATAACCGCGGGAGACGCGCGCGGGGACCTTCCCCGATTTCGGACCGCGAATCCGTCTCGTACCGCAGTAGGGGTCCGCGTAGAAACTTGGACGGCACACATCTGGACAGCACACACACCGGGACGGCGCAAAACTGGAATACACAGTTTTGAAATCCGTAAAAATCTGGACGGCGTAAATTTGGAATCTAATATTTAAAATAACTCCTCAGCGTACGACTTACCAATGTTCAAGAATTTCTCCGTCGTACAATTTTGTATTCCAGATTTTTACGGTCCAAACCGTTGGTTTTACATTTCGCGTTTTCACGCACTCGTCTGCAGCAGTTGTGAAAACGATTTCGATTTGGAACACGCAAGAAACGAGTTTGGAAAGAAGCCCGCACGAGAGCGAGCCGAGTTCTACCGGTGTCTAAACGTAATTTTTAAACGGTACACCCGCACTGCGGCGCTTTATCGAAAGGATCCGGTACGCACCCGAAGGTTTAATATCGCGTTTATGTGTGCGTACAGGCGCAAACGGCCGTTCGGGATTCGAGGGGTGCCGAGATCTCGACCGCGGACCGGAACTGGGACGTTCAGAGAAGTGTATACGCGCGGACACAAGATTTTTACTGGCCACCGGTGGCTCGGTTTCAAGCATTACAATTTTTGCCTAATGGCCAATTGCAACGTATTACTGAACAATAAAATCTACTGTACGTTTTACAAAATAAATGTACTACCTATATTTCGACTACAGTCACTATAGCCGGGTCGGGTTAACTGTTTATTGTACAGGTACGATCGGCGGCGCGAGTCTTGAACTTCTAATGCTCACGGCAAAATACTACCGATCCGAATGAGTAGGAAAAAAAAAAAATGGCCATTTAAAAAGACCCGCCACATCTGTGTCCGAAAATGCCTTGGGCTCTGATCGAGGCCACTGCCAAGGGCCTCATCAGTTGTGGGCCCGTGGCGTTCGCCCATCTTGCCCACCCGGTATTTACGCCACCGGATACAATTACAATACGCATACGACGCGCACGTAATTATTTCGGTGGGTGTTACAATTCATTAATTAATGAACATGTCTATTCAATGAACGCAAGACAAAAATAACAGAATAAGTTTTTGGGGTACGAAACCAAAACCCAAAGCCGCTTTCCCATGTTTGCGATTGTGTACAGAAATCTAAATAAATTAAAAATTTAAAAGTACTACTTTTTATTATTACTTTATTGGTTTTACAATGATATTTTTGTTTGTTTTAGATTCTGAGTTTAGCGAAGACTTTATTGGTTTTAAAAAGATGCGTTTATTTTTTTTTTTTTACGTGTACACTAATTCTCAGAAAGTTTACTCCGATTTTCAAGTACAGAACTTTTTCTGAAAAAAAAAAAAAAATGTTCTCTGAGTGATACTTCAAAGAGGTCGTTTTTTAAAAATAACATTAGTATTCGAGATAATGAGGAAAATTCCCGGTTATTTAGGTTAAAAAATATTGAAAGATTAAAATAAAAGGTCGTCACTGGCAAGCGCTTTTTTTAAAAATGTTTTTTTTATTATTACATGTTTACAATTTTAATCTTTTTTAAACAATCATTTTTGTCATGGAAACGTAAATTGCAATCATTTTACCATAATCTATATGTACAAAAGTTAATCTCCATTTCCCTTGGTCATCGCAGCACGTGAGAACGGCTTGATCGATTTCGCTGATTTTTTTTATTATTGTATTCGTAATAGCCCGGCCAAGGTTTTTATGAAAGAAAATTTGTTGAAAAAGTCGACCGAATAAGTAGAAAAATTGCAAAAATTTATTAATGATACCTGGGATCTAGGATCCGAACTCGATAACGTTGCACTAACATCATAAACGTTTTTTCTCAGTTGTCTTTATTTACTCTATGGTAGTCTTTGTTTACACTATGGCAGACGTACTCTTTATATATTTTATGGGCAGACCTATCGTCTAACTGACGTGCTTTATTGTCGTTCCTTTATCTCTTTGTACACGGTGAATATGATAAATATCGTTTAACAGCTGCATTGGTCGGCATCTATCGAAAAAGTTAATTTATTCATCTGAACGTTCATACAGTTTTGAGTGATTTCTTTTAAGAAGTTAATTTACGCCTTATGTTAAAAGTTTAATATCGTTTTTCGGCAAAAATTATGGAGGAGTTTAATAGTCCCCCCCCCCATACTAATGGTTTTAAATTATTAAATTTAATTTTCTAACATTATAAATAAAATCGTACGTATCGTACAAAAAAAAAAAAAATATTACTTTTTATTAATCATTTTTGTGGTGTTAGATAATTGTGTTTATAAATTAAATCCGTTAGACGGGGAGGGGGGTACTGTTAAACCCTTTTTATTCGTTTTGCGTTTTTATACATTTTTTAAGTGATTTTTTGTGGATTTTACCAACATATAAATTCGGTCTCTAATTATGACAATCGAATTAATAATTTCGTAATAACATAAATTGTCGGCAAACACGTACATAAAGGTATAAAAAAAGGACGCCGTGCCGTCTGCAAGTGACGACTATAATACAGTACACGCGTTCTCCCACTGCCGAGCGTCTCTACTGCCCGATAGGTTGGGTTTGGCTTCATTTCTTTTGAAATTTTCTCCCACCCCCAAAATTCGGCGTTGGTAGGATTTTTAGTATGAAAATCATGGAAAAATGTCACAACAGAACACTTTTAGTCCTCCGAACGTGGACTACCGGCTTTCCACCTATTTGTCTTCATTCAATACCGGCACGGTCACTATCAAAAAGTAATATGGGTTAAAGAAATAATAAAAAATTGGCACGGCCAACGATGGGCGGGACAGCTGGGTATGACATATATATTGTCGACGAAACAACACTGTCAACTAAACTCCGCTCAGAATCGTTTTTTCGTTAGCAATGGTTTATCGATGCGTATACAGAGATGTGCATCAGGGCCGTGTTTGAAAATTTCGCGCCCCGGGACAACACATTTCCGTCGCCCGTAACCCACTCCCCAATCCGAACTCAAATAAAGCAAATGTTATTTACAAGAATTTTTTTTTTTTTTTCTACGATATTCAACGAAAATCAGTTTTCCCGATGTTACCCGGGGCTTTGAACTTTTTCAAGGTGTTCACACTGTCCAACCATATTTTCCGCAGCGACGCGTGAAACCGAACAGCACTTGACCGGTTATTTTTTTCTGTTGAATTTTTTTTTTTTTGGGATTTCATCGCGCGACGCGAGTATACAAAAACGGAATATCGTGTTTTAACAGGCGGAGAGGTATCGGACCCGTCGTCGAGTTGTTTTCGAGTCGCCTATTGTGGACAGGCCCGAAAGGACAATAATATCGTCGTCACGACTCATCGCTCGTGACGATATCATTGTGTACACGACTAGTGAAACCGCTTTCGTCTCGCGTTTACGTATTCACAGCGCGCGACGGGTTTTTGTTTTTTTTTATACTTTATTGAAAAACTCCTCGGTGTCTTTTGTTCGATAATTACGCATCGGTTTCGTAGCCCCGGACAGTTGGCCGCCGCCGTCGGACACAGCGTTTAGGAAAATCGTCGGAGAAGAACGGTACTCGTGGCCTATTGTCTTTTTTTTTCTTCAAATCGGCCCGGACAACGTTTATTCTGTTGTCCGGCGATTTTCGGAGACGATCCGTATACAGGTGGGCATCCGTCGTCTCCGGGGAATGCGGCTTCTTTACGGGAACGCCGGGAGAACAAAAAAAAATAAAATCAGAGCCGCCCGAGTAAATTTATTCAAGGACGTTGGCCGCGGACAAAATATTCAGTCGTAAAAACCGAAACTCGTTACGATCGGGAGGCAAAACGAAAAAAAAATAAAAATAAAAATAAAAACACCGTCGCTTTCGTCTCTCGGACGCGATGACTTATCACTATTTTTGTATTTTCGGTAAAATGTACGGCGAAAAAAAAAACCGTATCGAAAAAATTACGTTTCTTTTTTTTGTTATTTGTGTTAACCACGACCTTCGGCGTTATACTTTTATGGATTTTTTTTTTTCGATTTTCTTAGCGTGTCGCCGGAGCCCACCGACTGGCTCGACGAAAATATAATATCATGCGTCGTGTATAGGTGTATATTTTATTTTTTAAAGGTTCTGCGGGTACGATACGGCGGAGCTCCTATCGTTTCTCGATTCAAAACATTATAGTCTAGAGAAAAAAAAAAATTCCACCGTCGCGGTCGCGATAATATCACCACGTTACACGTAACGTGTTGCCCGTAAAGTTTGTTGGATTTTCTCGCCTCATCTCGGGCGGAGCTGTACCTCAGGCGTGATCCTCTGCGATCAGTGGTTACCGCGTTTCCGCGTATTTCCGGGAAGCTAGAGGGAGGCGATACCATTAACCGAGTTCCGTTCAGAATCGTTTTTTGTTGGCAGTGTTTAAATTTGTTTAGGTATCCGGTATAGATTAAACTTCCCTCAATATCCTACCTTTCCAACTTCCCGTCTGCAACAGTGGTCCATCCACCGTGCGAAGTACGTCCGTAATTTCTTACCAACCGTTAATAATAAATTTAATTATTTCGCCACCATAGTCAAAGTCCGGAGACGCCCCTGCGAGCGTCTCGCTCGTGTTGTCTTATAACTGATCTTACGCTGATGTCGAATCGTTAACGTAACCGATTAAGGAGTTCTTAACAAAAAAAAAAAAAAAACAAAGTCGAACAATTGGTCGTATTCAAACTCTGTATTCAGTGTGTATTAGACGCGAGCGCGCCGTTGATCCGCGGCCACGGGTCGTTGCGTGCCGTTACCCCGTCGGGCCGAAACACCGTGCGCACATCCGGAGGGACGCGCGGACGAACGCACAGACGCGGGGAACGGGCGCAGTGAGCGGGGGAGTGAGGGACGGAGAGAACAACGGGGACAGGGCGGCGACCCGAGAAAACAAAAGAGCTCGTGTCGTCTTTTATTGGTTTTTTTTTTTTTTTTTAATTTTATTTCTCTCTGTAAACTAAAATATAAATATTTCTCGTCGTCGTTACATATCGATTTTTATTTCTAAAAAAAAAAAAAATATAATAATAATAATAATAATAAACTTAAGACAAATAATAGGGGTCTACAATATCGAATATAATAATAATTATCGTACAATATTATGCGTGTCGTCCGACGCCGATGCTCGCTAACAATACAATGGGTGTACGCGCGCGCGCGCGCGCGCACACACACACACACACACACACACACACACATATATGTATGTATGTATATATTACGCGTCTAAGAATATTAAAATATTTATTTATAAACGTATCGTACTATAAATATATATATATATATATATATATTTTTTTTTTTTTTTTACACATTATATATCTCTAAATCTAATAGAAAAAATAAAAAATAAAAACAAACACGGTCTTATACAATATAAACTGTATAGTATGCATTATAATATACGTACATTATATCTCGTTTTTTTTTTTTTTCGCCATCTCGTTTGTCGCGGCGACCTATCACATATTATATGCCTACCTACCTACTATATATATATATATATATATGTATATATATATATATATCAATATCAAATTAGTAAAAAATAATAAAATATCGTCATTCGGTTAAAAAAAAAAAAAAAAAACGTTTATCGTACAACACGCGTTAGAATATAATAATAATAATGATAATAATAATAATAATAATAATAATAATAATAATAATAATAATAATAGTCGCAATATATATATATATATTACACAAAATGGATATATTTGTTGTAATCGCACCCGCGAAAAAAAGGTCGTTTTTTTTTTTTTTTTTGTTATTTTCTTTTTCCATCCATCCCCCCCGTTGAGATCAGAAATAATACATCACAGGTCGAATGCGGAGAAAAATTATTAATAGAATACAAAAAAATAAAAAAAAAATGAAAAAAAAAAAATATATATATATGTATACTATATTTTTAACAACAAAGAACAAAAGCCCGCCCCCCCCCCTTTTTCCCTATATCCTCGCGGATTCGCCGGAAAACTATACTCACTCTCGCTGGGAGCAGAACGAAAATAATAAAAATATAATCGTATATATATATTTTTTTTTTCGAGTTTTACTCGATTTTCATTTTTTTTTTTTCAATTACTTTTTATTATTTTTTTTTATACTAAACAAGACGAGACAAAAAAAAAACAATTAATCTATATATTATACCTACAAACACAAGATACGATATATATAGTATTATTTTTACAACAAAGAAGTGAAAATTTTTTTTGTTCAAAATAACCTTGCGTACATAAAAAAAATAATATATATATATATATACATATACATATACATATATATATATATATATATATATATATTTAAAAAACAATGAGATCGTTTCAGTCCCATATTGGAAAAAATAAAAAAAAAATGTCGGAAAGAAAATTTACTTATCGATTGATTTTTGCGATCGGAAATACGATGTGTGAGTGTGTGTGTGTGTAGAAAAATTAAAAAAGAATACGCGAATGGGACCGAGAGACCGAGAAATTTCGATCATTGCATTAGAAAAAAAAAAAAAACAAAAAACACGGTCCGCCTTTTCGGAATACCTATTGTTGTTGTTTGTTTCGTTCGAATGATTTTACTTTTTGTTTTTAACAAATTTAACGAATTCGCTCTTTGGAATCGCGCATGTAAAATTAGATAAGAGACCAATGTAATCTTTGGATTTTCATTATTAAAATTGAGATCTTCTCGAAAATGAAAACAAAAAAAAAAAAAAAAAAAAAATTATACATATATATATATATTAAGAAATCGTGAAAAAAAAATGTTTATAATAAATAATTATAATAGTAATAAAAAAAAATCTTCCTAAATATTATATATATATATATATATATATATCATTGTTAAAAAATAATATATAAAATGTTTTATTAATGCGTGACACGACGTTGCTTTCAATGTTTTTTATTTCCTTCCTAAGTGATGTTTTTCTACATACTATATACGTTTTTTTTTTGAGTTTTTGAAAATTAATCGCTATACACTATATACCTATATTATATTATTAAAACACGGAGGTTTTTTAAATAATAAAAAGTTAATTGTATAATTGCACGTAATATAACATTAAAAAACTAAGGGGGAGGGGGCCTAAACACTATAAAACGTACGGAGAGGGGGAGGGGTAGGGGGTAGCCGCCAACGTGAACACGGGGCGGCTCTTAACACGCCGCGACGTAAATAAAAAATAATATTACGGTTAAGATAAATATTGTATATTTATAATAAATTTTATATTAAAGCAAAAAAAAAAAAATAAAAAACCCGTTTCTTTTTAATTTTTCATTATGGATCTCGGGGATTTTTTTTTTTCAAAACAAAATTGGATTCGTCCTTGGTGGTTGCGCGTAATGTACTATAGTTATAATAATATTTATAAAACCGAACATTATCGTGAAGGAGATCAAAAAAAAAAAAAAAAAAAAAAAATTTATACACAAAATAATAATGTTAATTCTCATATATATGTAAATATATATATATATAATATATTTTTTAGGGGATGGGTGGGGAGGGGTGCCGTCGTTGGGAAGAGCCGACAGATACTGTCCGGGCTCTTTCCGCACGTAGAACGCGCGACGGTACGGGAGATCTCGAAATTTTGCATAGAAAAATCGTTGAGAAATATATCGTTTTTTTTTCTTTTTTATTTACAATACCTACGGAGACGTAAAGCACCGTAACTCCCGGAGTGCCGAGTGTTTTCCTTTTCTGCTGCTGACGGTCGGTCGGTCGGTTGGTGGGTGGGTGGGTGGTTGTGTGTGTGTGTGTGGGTGGGTTGGTGACGGGAGCCACCCCACTTCAAATGGCCATCGTCGTCGCGATGATCGAACGGCGGCTCCTCTTGTTGGTGGGAGACTCGACGCCCGCGACTTTATTGCTTTTGTTGTTGGACTTGAGCGATCCGGCGGCCATCATGGCGTTCAAAGACCGTTTCTTGGTTTGGTTCATGAATTCTGTAACGAGAGCGAAAAGAAAAACCAAATGAAAAACCGTCGCACACGCGCGGGCGCACCCGATAAACAATATTTTCGCATAAAGACGGGGGAGGGGGGGGCGAATAACGATAACAATAATGCACGCGACCTCACCGCGGACCGGAGGGGTAAAATCTAATTTTACCCGAGGAGTGCCGGACGCGGGCCGAACACAACGCGACAACGACGCGCGTAGGCCGCCGAGGGCAGCGACCTCCTACGCGCGCGTCGGCCGCCGTTTTAGCTCTCCTCGGCTCCGTAGCTCGCGTTCGCTAACTCGCGGGCGCGAGAAGAACGACCGCGGGCTGCGGGGGGGTTGGGAAGGGGCCGACGGAGATAACAGCGCGACGAGAGCCGAGGCTCGGGACCGCTAATGATAATGTAATAATAATAATAATAATAATAATAGTACGGCCGTCGGGCGGACCACGCCCATTCGGCAATGCACTTTTTTTTCATTCGTACATAAAATATCGCGGCGTATTTTTTTTTTTTTTTTCCCTACAATCATCAATTTACTTCGTGTCCGAGAGAGTCGTTACGTTTCCCCTTGGCCCTCTTCCCCCCGCGCGCGAGCGCGCGCGCACACACGCACACACACGCGCGCCCGTTCGACACGTTAGGCGCGCGGAGGGGCGATCGTGCGCGTGTGCGCGTATACGTACGTACGTACGCGCGCGCGCGAGTGTGGGACGAGTGGTGAAAAACGGAAAAAAAAAAAAAAAATACAAAACCGGTCTCCCGAACACGTGTGCACATATGCAACGCGAGCTTATTATTATTATTATTATTATTATTATTACGGACAGATCCTTGTAGTAGTAGTAGTAGTAGTAGTAGTTGTAGTAGTAGTAGTAGTAGTAGTAGTAGTAGTAGTAATAATAATAATGGTAGTAGTAGTAGTATTAATAGTAGTAATGGTAGTGGGGGCGGCGGCGGCGGCGGCGGCGGCGGAGGTGGTGCGTATAATTATAATATTATTATTGTATAGTGACACTCCTCTGTCGGGCCGAGAGGAGAAGCAAGGAAAAAAAAAAAAAAAAAA